AAGGAGTGTTTCACAGGGGTGTATTATTTGTGTTGTGAGGTTTGAACCCAAACTTTCAGTCTACAAATTAGACTTTGTCCGACGTTTTAGGATTCCATAGCCACAGTGACATTTTGCATGTGAGTGTAATCAGCATAGGGAAATTACCTGCCACGGTTTTAACAGCACACCGCATAATGATGATAATAATAATAAAATGTTTTTCCACTGCAGGTTGGGAAGAAGGATGGTGTCATGTATATAAATTATGCTTCCACATCAAAGCATCTGGATTTTCAATGTGTCTCTTTTAAGTCTGAGGTGTGCACTTCTCCCCTCAGATCTGAATATGTTCCCACCTCTCTTCGAGACTAACAGCACTTGAAAAAGAAGCTCTCAGTGTGTGAAATCACAACAGCAGATGGATGGTCTGATGGGCAGGCTGTACTTTACTTTTCTCTCATTACAGGTATTACAGAGCAACCCTTTACTGATGTAATGATCAGAACGTTTAAACCACAGCACATCTTTTTGTGCGTCTGTGGACTGTTATTATATACGTTCTAAGGTATGTTTAAAACAGAGTAGCTCATGCTCCGGGATGGTTTACTTTTTTGGGAGTGCCAATTACCAGCTAAAGTGGCTTTGCTATGAAGCAAAAACCAGCACTGGCAGTGACTGGCACATGAAATGGTACTAGGATAAACTAAACAGCCAGGAAAGCAGTATGAGGAAGAACTGAATCCAAAACATGTGAGAATAAAAAGATTTTCAGGAAATGAAGCATGAGTGTTGGCCTTATAGGATAATCCTTTATTGTCATTGTAACACGTACAACGAAATTTTTAGAGTGACCTCTAGTTGGTACAGCAATAGAAAAAACATAACATGAAATGAAATAAGACCAGTCTGTCGCCTTCGATAAATACATTCTGAATAAAAGAGAGCATGCAAACTGTTCAAATTAAATCGAATGCCACATACAGTACAGTGCACACAGACTAATCCTAAACTAATGTTGTAGAACCGACGTCCCTCTGCTGTTCCACTGAGCTCATGTTACTACAAGGCAGTTGCACCTCAGGTTCCTGCGCTGAGAGCAGTCTGTAAACAGTCCTAGCTAATTTTGGCTGGTCGCACATGGCCACATGTGTGAAGAGCTGGTGATAGTTGTTGCAAAGACCTTTTTTAACTCACACAGATCAACCCAAATTGAATATCTGAGCTGGTCCCACACTGAAACTGAAGCTCAAGTTTCCTTTTAAGGACAACAGCCTAAACACATGTTCACATACCAGTGGCTTTATGAGCACTGTATAAGCTGCCACTCTATGCCTCACTTGTCACATCCTGTGTCGCAGCACTACGCCATCTACCTAAAGAAAACTGAAAAAAGAGTTTCATACTTTTTGGATATGTGACCGTGTCTGTAACTATAAATATGCATGTGCATGGGGAAGAAGCGTCTCCCTGCATCTACTGACATACAGTTACACACAATTTTGGGTGTTTGTGTGAGAGTGTGTCTGTGTGAGTCAGCGCTGTGATGCTGGACACACTGGGATGAATCACATTGTGGCTGTGGTTGGAGAAGAGAATGGTAGCAGCAGCAGATCTCCTCAAAGCTCCCAAACACAAACCATATGTAGAGTGTGTTGTTACGTGTACTGTGCATAATTACAATTTCAGCAATATTCCCGCCACAAATGGAGTGTTTACCAAGTTAGTTCATTTCCGGCCCCTATCATGTTGATTCTAAAGACTCATTTGTTCCCATTCAGATCTGAAGAAAACATGACTTTGATGGCAGCAACAGTAACCACCGCAATATGAGACTGAGAAGTATTTTTCCCACAAGAAAGCAAATATCAAGCTACTTATGGTCACATATGGGAACCCCCACAGAGCTGATGGGAGATGTATTGTACAATTTCTCTCCGGTTTTGCTTCTCTAATTTTGGCGTTTTGCACTCAGACACAAAATGAACAAGGTCTTCTATCATTCACAAACTATTCAAATAAAATACCTGCTGGCTCACAGTTCTGTGTAGATATTAGGTCTGTAGCAAAGCCAAGTGGGAAAATAACTGTGGCGGCCATCTTTACAATTAAATGTATAATATCTGTGGCTAAACTTATCATGAATGTGATATCACCCTAAGGTGGAGCCAGGATGGTGATCATTTGAAATGTTACTTCAGTAAATCTTGTGATTATGCTGTTTTTTATTTACCTCTTTGTGAAAAGTAACTGGTAACTAAAGTTATCAAATAAATGTAGTGAGAACAAAGTGCGATACTTTTCTCTGAAATGTAGTGAAGTTGAAGTATGATGATGTAGCAGAAAATAAAAATACTCAAGCACAGTTACCTCAAGTGCAGTACTAGAGTAATGGTACTTAGTTACTTTCCACCGCTGTGTGGAACCATGTAGTAACAACTGTGCCTTTCCAGTTGGTTTTTAATGCCATCTTTGCCACTGGACCCCGCTAGGAAAACTCACTGGAATGGAAAAAGTGTACATCAGGGGTAATGTTACATGCATCACCATGACTAACAGGGAAACTCTCTCAACATGTGTGCGTTGGACACCCGCTGGGCACATGGTGATCATGACAGCATCTCACTGCCGAGGCAAACGGAAAGGAAATGCTGACGACAAGGTGTTGATCTTGGCGGCAGATGCTTTTCAAAACTTTCTGCTGAAGGCAGTCTGGATCTGTTCTGGTACATTAACAGCTCACAACATCCATCAACTAGGATTGGCTTAATAAGCACCTATTAATAATAATTGTGATGCTATCTCCTGTAATAAATTGCTTGTGATGCAAAACACGACAGACTAATCACTAAGTAGAAATGTCTGACAGGAATCTGCAACAGGTAGCCACATCCAGCGTGAAAAGGGCTTGCAGCTAACCAAATATCATCAGGTCAGGTGTTTGTGTCCATACATGCAAGGCAAAAGAGATGTGACCAACAAGTTTCCGTGTCTGGCAGACTAGGAAGGAAAACATCTAAGCTCTCTAGCAGAATTTCCCTCAAGAGACACAACAGGAGACAACCACTAATGACAGCTGTAGATCCTGCCTGCTGGGATGACACATCCAAAGCCATTCAACACAAGCTATCACGTAGAAATCCTGCTATTGTCACACTGTCGCTTCTGGCTCATTCTGTTCTGGATCAAAGCACCGCTCTCCCCTCACTCAGGCGTCGTGCCTCCTGCAACATCAGCTGGCTCTTATGCGTCACCCTTAGGCTGGGCCACTCTACCTCACGCTCACACACACATGGATAAACACACACCACCCACAAAGGGGAGAAAAATGAAAAGTGCAGTGATTAATCCGCTGAGGGAATGTATGTGGCCGGGGGCGGCCAGCTGAATGTTAAGAGTCCGGGGGCCACGAAACGAGCCGACAGTCTGACAGGCAGTAAGCAGGCGGGCTGACTGGCTGGTGGACTGAGTGGCACACAGACTGTGTGAAGCGCCTTGAGGCGATGGGGATGAAAGCCTTTCTTTAAAAGGTCACGGGTGCAGCTCCACTGTGCGTGTTAATGTGTTGGACAAATCACTGTTGATGCGGCGCAAAAAGGTTGTGACACCACCGATCCACACAGTTCCTCTATGTACAGTCCTTATAGGAGCATTACAGTCATTCCATACAATAAAAAATAACATTACTCCAAAGTGCTATAATGTAACCTTACTAATAAGCACCACAGTCACGGATCCCTACAGGACTATTACAGGGATATTAGTGTGATATTTCATTAGAAGATTCCCCAACTGTCAAAAAATAGACAACAGACTCAAATCTAAAGAGTCCTTGGCATGACTTTGTGCGATGGAGATGTCGGCAGGTGGGACAAACGGTGCTACCAGACGAAACGAGTGAGTCAGTGTAAAATCTGCCGAGGAGACAGATGATACAGTGCTCGGCTCCAAGTGACTGGCTGTGCGCAGAGGCCACAGTGTATCACACTACATCAAGGCCGGTTATCTGCTGGTTGCATGGTGACTGAAGAGTAGGCTGCACTTGAATACCTGGCAGCTTTATGCAAGGCAAACGCTGCACGCTTGCCAACTGTGTCCGACTTCTTTAGTGCAGCCCAATTGCTTGGGGGAGCATGCAGGCGAAAAGTTAAGTTTTCAAGAATTTAATTCCAGATATCAGTCTGTGAAAATGAATCACATGCTGCATAAAGGCACTGTACAAACACAAGACCTGCTCAGTAGGCTCCGGGGAGCAGTGAACAGTGTATGGATAACATTTGGATTTTGGAAAGCAAATTTTAAATGAGCAAAGACTGGGCACAGCTCTTTAATTTGATCTGTTCATTTTCTGTGCTCATTATGCAGGTCTGCAGGTCTATGTTGGCTCCATAACCATGTTTATCTTGACCTTTGTTTCTTGTTGCCATTACCAATAAAACTGATTGTTTTCACTGACAACAGATGACTCTAATCTTTGCACACTCATCAAAGACAACTCTGCAAATTAGGTTATGTTACAGTCTGGCATTGCAGCCAATGCTGCTGAGCCATGCGGCTTCTGGAGTTTATCTGAGTCAGAACACCAAACAGACCGTGACAGGTAGGCTATAGTCCACCACCCCAGCCAGTAACCCTGCTATTCAAGCGCCTTTATAGCTGTTAACTTATGAAAGGCTTTTGCTGTGCCATGCTGTCATTCCGCCCCGGAGCGAACACGCACGCTGAGCTCAGATCTCAGACTCAGCTTTGGCATTTTAAACTGGAGCCATTCAAACGGCGCACTGTGGCTCCTGCCTGTCCTCGGCTAGCATCCAGCCGAGGATGCCCATCTCCCAGAAAAGCTCAGCTGCATCTGTCTGGCTTCCCTCCGTTCAAGTGACAATAATCAAACCGTCATTCATTCAGAGGCCCGGCCGTGGAGATGTTCTGACCCGCCTGCCAACCCCTCCGGGCTTCACCCCCCGGCCGGATCGTATCTTTATAGATGTGATATGAACACAGTGGCAGCGCCTCAGTCTTACCGGCTGCTGTATGTGGCGAGACGTCCCCCTCCCAGGCGGAGGAAGGTGCTGCTGCTGGACCCCGTGCTGAAAATAGTCGCTGCCAGCGGCTTTGTTGCCCGCGACCCGGTCTCTCTTCCCCCGCACGCTGGAGCCTCCGTTTTCCCTGTCTTCGCCGGAATCGAGGCTGCTGAAGTTCCACACTATCAGCGTCTGCACTAGCAGCACCGTGAGGGCTGCTATAAGGGCGGACCGCGAGCCAACCTGCGAGCACACAAGCCGCCAACCATCTTCGCAGCGGGCTGCACGGAGCTGAAGGACCGTCAGTGGCTCTGCGCAGCGCGACCGGAGGACGGAGTGGAGGTAGAGGGAGGAGGAGGAGGAGGAGAAGGAGGAGAAGGAGGGGGAGGAGGCAGGGAGGTAGGTTGAGTTTAACGCTGGAGGAGGCAAGGAGGAGCATCGACAGGGGAGGAACAGGGCCACCTTGTGGTGCAACAAGGAAAGAGGGTGCTCAGCGACAGGCATGATGCTCCAGGCTGCTGAACGACTCCCCTTCAAGTTCTCTGTGCGAGAAATAATAGCCTGTTTATCAGACTAATAGTCTGGCCAGGATTCCGTTTAGGGCCAAATACCTGCAAATGTTCAACAGTGCAGTGCCCAAAGTCATTAGTGCACGACAGAGTACAGCGATAGACTGCTGGTTTCCATCCAAATGTAGCGCAAAGCTTAACCACATTTTGAGAAAATCAGCTAAAAGAAATGCAAGTAAATATGCATTTCCATCAAATACGAAATATTAGGTTTATTGCTGGTAGCACTGATCCTTCAGCCAAGAGAGCTCATCAGAATGACATAAATACAAGGGTACCAGTCAAACCATGAGCTAAAAATGTAGAAAACATGATGGAAGTATGGTATTTGGGGATTTTTTTCTCATCCCACACAGATGTGTTTTGGTCTGTCACAGTTTTTCATCTCTTTAGTGGATTTTAATGTACCTGCCACATGTACAGTACTGTATAGTCAAGAGTAATCTACTAAGTGCAGCTCACAATTTTACTTTTATTAGCACACTGAACTTTTCACCTCAGCCAGGGGTTAAAACCATTATCAGAATCAGAATCTGCTTTATTGTCCAGGTGTGTCGGACGCACAAGGAATTTGACTCTGGTACATCGGCTCTCAATGTGTATGTACTGTACATATCCCCATGCAAGGGGCAAGTAAACAGTAAACCAGCATAAGGTTGTGTAAGATAACAAAATAAGCAGTATTAACAAGCAACAACCAGGGCAAACAATGCTAAATAAGCAGTATAAACAGACAGTAAACAATGCAGACAGACAAAGGAATGCTCATTGTGAAATGAGATAAATAGGAATAAAAACAGAGTACTTAAAACTAGAGACCTGTACGAATCTGTATAATCTCTATGTATATTTACAGGTATTGCACTGAGGGTTATTGTCCAGTCATACTGTCATGGGTTAAGTGTTCAACAGAGTGACAGCCTGGGGGAAGAAACTGTCCCTGTTCCTGGTTGTCTTGGTGCACAGTGACCTGTAATACCGTCCAAAGGGGAGGAGTTCAAACAGATTGTGTCCAGGGTGTGAGGGCTCTGCAGTGATCCTCTCCACCCTCCTTTTGACCCGTGAGGTGTACAGGTCCTCCATGGAGGGCAGGCTCACACCAATGACCTTTTCTGCAGTCCTGACTGTCCACTGAAGTCTGTACTTGTCCTGTTTGGTTGCTGAGCCAAACCAGACAGTGATGGAGGTGCAGAGAACAGTTATGCACTATTTCAAGATTAGTTTCAACTACCGACATTTCCATTAATTTTTTATTGTACAAATTCAAAATAGCAATAGTTGGTTAGTCAGTTATTTAAAGCAAATAGACTGAGATCTTATTTTTAAGAGACACAAGAGAGACAAGAAAAACATACTCAGATGAATTTGGAATACAAACTTTGCAATATACATTTCTACATTAAATAAAAGAGATATCATAATAATACACTACTTTTGTTGGTGCCTTTCCAACACCCAAGGGGCCCTACAGAACAAATAACAATGTCTGGGGGAATTATGGAGTGCTCTGAAGGTAAGCTGGAGAATCTTATAATGAATTCACTGATATGCAGGGGTCCAGTGAAGCCGATTGTGAAAGGGCGAGACATGGTTGGTGCACTTGGGGAAGGTAATTATGGCA